GGGGGAGGACTGGGTTGCGGCAGGAAAGAGTCTGTCATCATTGCGCCGCGAGGACAGCCAGGTTGGGTGTGGACGGCGGCAATGGCTAAGAAGCGGAAGTCAGATAATGCCGGGATGGATGACGTGGACAGAACGCTGTATACTTCATTCGTTGCAGCAGCGAATTCGATTTCGCAGCTGTATACGCAGGCCCAGCATCAGCAGAAGCTGGCGTTCTTGGCAGGTCAGAGGCATGCATCTGAGAAGATCGTTCAATGGCTGCAAAGGGGGTACGGGAGCGCGGCGGAGGTGCCGATCAACGATTTGTTGGACTTTTTGCACAGGCAAGTCGAGCCCGGGGGGATGGATAGCTTAGTGGAATTTGGGGGGGGGGCAGTTCAACAAACGGTGGCGGGGGGGCTGGGGGGAGGAGGGGGGGGAGGGGGCGGAGGCGGCGGGGGGGGGGGGGGGGGGGGGGGCAATTACCTGAATCCGCGCCCATCTGCTGCGGCGGCCCTCTCCGGTCCTCATCACCCGCAGCACCAGGCGCAGCAGCAGCAGCAACAGCAACAAGGAGCGCACCAGCAGGAGTCTCCGCAGACCTTGCAACATAATATGGCATTACTCTCGTGTGGAAGATCGGCGGCGGGAGGAGGGGGAGATGGTGGGGATGGGCAAGATGCGCCTGCTGAAGGCTTCACTAGGGCTGTGACCGGAATGGCCTCTTTGTTGAGGCAAGGGGCTACGCTCCTCGGCGCTACGCAGGATGATTGTGATGGGGCTTGCGCCAACGATTCAGGCGCCACGGCATTGACCGATCAAACTGGGAAGATGGGGGTGATGTCTGGAGGGGGGATGTCAAGTCCGGCTCGGAGATCCCTAGCGCAGTATGCGGCTATGGCGGAGGCACCGTTCACAGGATTAATTGGGAGAGGGAGTAATCCGGTGGAGATGGCAGGTAATCACCACGAGCGGGAAAGGCATGGCGCGCAGCAGCCAGCGTCGATGATCAATAACCTGTTTTCGAGATCGACGATGATTGGTGCTGATGATCTAGCGAATGGGGCCGGCCCTATGCTAGCGGGAGAACCCCATTCACAACAGATGAGCGCTTTGCACCAGTCGCAGCAGACGCAGCATCATCATCACCATCACGCACAACAACAGCAGCAAGTGCAAGGAAGGGTCACCGGTTTTGGCTATGGTGAAGAGGGGCCTGGAGGTGGTGTTGGCGCTGATGATGAGGATGCTTGCATGGACATGGGGGCGATTTCGCTTGAGGAAATGTACGCGCATTCTAGGGTTTTCTGAGCTTGCTCGTCCGTGGTCCCGCTTCGTGTCCTGTCGTTGAAACGTTATCTACAGAGACACAGAGAGAGAGAGAGAGAGAGAGAGAGAGAGAGAGAGAGAGAGAGAGAGAGAGAGAGAGAGAGAGAGAGAGAGGGTTCATTTGACTCGTGATCGGCAGCATGATGCGGAAGCCCTGTGAAGACACACTTCCTGTTTCTGGAGGTGATGTTGGTATTGACGTCTGTGGGCTTCGTATTCACTGGAGCTTCTCCTCCTCCTCTGTGGCAGATCTATCTGCGGACACATCTTGTCGATCCTACCTGCGTAATCCTCCTCCTGCTCCTCCTCCTCTCTCTCTCTCTCTGTGGGTGACTTCTCTTCTGTTCCCCCCAACTTATATCCTGTCTCTCGCTCTCCTATCACCTGCAGTTTACCCACTTCTCGTTCAATCTCCAACCACTTATTTACCTGCTCTCGCGGCGTTTGGTATGCTTGCATGGACATGGGGGCGTGTGAAGTGCTCGGCCTCGTTTCCCGCGCTGTCTTTGGATCTATGTGCCACTCAAAGTGGATGGAGAAGGCGGAAGGTTAAAGATGAAGGAGACAGAAGCAGGACACCGCTTTCTGGTATGGAGGTGCTGAAGATGGCGATAGGGGAGATTGAAGTCATCAGAGGGTGGAAGGGCACGATAGGAAGATGGTGGGGGGTTTGGAATATAAGAGGGGAGAAAGGAGGGGATGGAGGAGACGAGAGGCGGCTATGAGAAGATATTTCGGGATCTTTCTGTCTTTGTGGCCCCCTTGTATGCAGGCTCTGTACAAGAGCAACCAGCTGAATGATTCCGCCAGGGGCTGGCAGAATTCCTTGGAACCCTCTCCTTTTTTCTCTTTCCATACCGAAGAAATCTTCTGCCTGGAGTGAGGCGAGGGTGAAAACGGTCAAGGGAGATAGGTCTCGAGTAGGTCGTGTGGATTAGCCGTGGAAGGGTGGCAGCAGGGTACGTGATTCGTGATAGTGATGATGGTGATGATGATGATGATGATGATGATGATGATGATGATCACGATCTCCGTTTTTCTGCTTGTGCCCTTCAGGATAATGATTTCGCCGACAAGCTGTCTCGGGGTCTATTCGATGTTGGGAAAGGACAGCTGATGGGTGCTATGGAAGGTCAAGGGGGGGTGGGGGCGTGAGGGTGGAACTGGCGGGGGCTCTTTCTATTGGACGACATCTCTCTCTTCTCTCTGCTTGCCTCTCTCAGGTCTTCATGCTTCATTCGGGAACTATAATCGCCCGAGGAAGACCAAGTTGATGACCGGTAGGCCGCTTACTTCATCAGTCTTTGACCTTATTTGGGTATTGGTGGAATAGGGGTATAGAAAGGGCTCTGGTACTGTGGATATTGAGTGGGTAGGGGTAGAAAGCTAGCTCGAGACGCATTTGTTCCTCTCTCTCTCTCTCTCGATCCCTGCTGATTATCTGCAGCTCTCTCTCTCTCTCTCTCTCTCTCTCTTCTGATCATCGGCTGCTAGTTGTCTCTCTGTCGCTCTCGTAGTCTTCACTTTCCTCTCTCTCTCTCTCTTTCTCTTTCTGTGCGTTGTGCGTCGTCTGTAATTGCCCCCGTTTTTATTCCCATTGTTTCTTGTAGTATCTACTGGCTCGTGATTTTTTTTTTTTTCCCCATGTGCGTTTTCAACGTTCAGACTTTTTTTTTCGTTTTTTTCTTCCCCGTTTGGATTTAATTAGCTTGTTGACGTCATCATGCTCCGGCGGCGTTTGTTGGGGTGCGCCAATGCTATGTGTCATGTCCCCTTGAGCAGTTGGACTCGTCAGAGTCAGGTAATTAGCTTGCTGACGTCATCAGGTAATGAGCTCTATAACGCTATATCGTGGTCTCCGTTTGACTACTATTTTCACACGTGGCAATGCCTTTTTATGATTTTTTCGGTTACTTGCGAATCAATCCCTCGTTTAATCATTCATTTCCATGCGTTCGGGTGTTTGTTACTTTGTTGTCTGTCCCTTCTTCTTTTCTTAATTGCAATTCAATCCCTACGTCTTCTGACAGTAATAGCCTTACGTCTCCCTTCCAAGGCTTCCGGATCCGTTCTTCTGTTCATGGATCTCACCTGACCCTTGTGTTCTGCCTATCGTTTCAGATCGATTTCTTGATTGATTGATTTGTTGATTGATTGATTGATTGATTGATTGTTGATTTGTTGATTGATTGATTGATTGATTGTTGATTTGTTGATTGATTTGATTGATTGATTGATTGTTGATTTGGTGATTGATTGATTGTTGATTTGGTGATTGATTGTTGGTGGTCCTGTCTACTGCTGCTACGTGTGATGCAAAGAAGAAGAAGCACGCTGTCATTCAACTGGTCGGTTCACTCTCTCCGTTGAGCCCATGTTCTTTTAACGTCGTCTGCTGCGGCCACGTGTCATGCAGAGAGATAGATAAGCCAGCCTATCTTTTCTCTTCCCCCCAGCTCTGTGTCTTCTCTGGCCCAAAATCGATATTTGTCTACCCATGCCTCCTCACTCTGTGCGAGAACCCTTTTTCATTTTTCATTCCGGAGTCCCAGTGTTCGGTGTTGTGGGTTATGCTCTCTCTCTTATAGAGTTTAGAGAGCTGGAGACTTGTATGTGGAGGGAAGCGACAATTCGAGCGTCCTTTGGCTATGGTATTGGTTTTATCGGGGTGCACGTATGTGTTCCAATTGTTGGGTTATATTCATCCATGTCACACTAAGTTTTGAATTTAAGTGAATGTTCGACGACTCGTCCTGTGGCGACGGAGCTCTGGGAAGGCAGCGAGGTAGTACAAGGACGATTATAGAAAAAAAAAGGATAAGGATGAATGAAACCCGCATCAAGGGGAGGGGGAGGTGGTAGTGAGCTGGGGAGGGGGAGGTGGTAAGTAAGCAGGGGAGGGAGGTGGAAGGAACCAGGGAATGAAATCCAATGGCGTCGAAGGCACGGACGCTACCTGTGATGCAATGACGGCACTGGGATCTCTCTTTGCCCAATATAATTCTCTCTCTCTCTCTCTCTTCTTCGTTTGATCGACGTCGTAGGCTAGCATCATTCATTCATTTGCAATCATCAGTGTGCCATTCGGACTATATTACTACTTTAAAGCTTGATAGATGTCGATGGAACAGGTTTCTGGAACGATCCCACGGGCTCTCTCTCTCTCTCTGTGTGCCCTCCCAACGCAACTCTTCCCTCTTCCCTCTTCCCTCTTCCCCTCCTCCTCGTCGTCGCTAGCTAACATCATGCGTGTCGAATCATCTGTGCCATTGTGACGAATACTTCAAAGCTGGAAAGATATGTTGATGAGGGTGGGTGGGCCTATCTTGGGCAACAACCAACCTGCGGGTTCCGTAATGATGTCGTGATGTTGTGAGATCGGTGGAGTTGGTGATGACAATCCATCGTCGGCGTTGAGGAATGAAGGTGGTTACGCATGATGATGATGATGATGATGATGATTGCAGAGAGGGCGGGGAAGGGGGGGGAGGGGAGACGTGTGGGCGGGGAAGTGAGAATGATGATGGAGGTTGGGGGACGGCTGTTTCCTTGAGGTAACACGTGTCCTTGCAGGTGTAGCACTCTCATGAGCGAGCGATCGGCTTCTTCTGACGTGGCATTTCTGAGTCATGGATGACGACTCATGTCTACGCACGCGCCGCGTCAGCTTCTTTGCTGCTGGTCCTACTCTCTCTCTCTCCCTCTCTCCCTCTCTCCCCCTGCCCCTCAGTACGAGACAGTGTGGCTAGACAAATGTTCGACGCTCATCCCTCCTCTCCTTGTCTCCCTCCTTCTCCTTGTCGCCTCCTTCAGTGGTCAATTGGCTTACCGCTTCGACGTTCTCCGAATCGAATTGCCGATTTGCATCGGCTAAAAATCGGCGATTCGATCGTTTGCCCTTATGGTCCGCACAGGAAGCAAGTGTGCCCCCTCCTTTCTTCCTGTACCCCCTTAGTCATCATTGTCCCCTCTCGCGCCGCCCTTGCATGGTCTGTTCGGTTCTCGTCGTTGACGTTCACAAAAATACTAATTAGTGTTCTCAACTGAATTGCGAAACAGTGGTCGTCACAAAATCCACGTCATTTTTTTTTGCGTCCCTCTGGTTGGCGGGTAATTAGCAATTACAGTAATTGTACGTCTGGCAGCGGCAGTTTAGCGATGGAAATGTTGAATCCAGCGAAAACTAGAGGTAAAGAAAGCTTAACCAAGCAAAGCAAAGCAAAGCAGCCCTTGTCGTGAACCTCTTAAGAAAAAAAGAGAGACAAGGTGATGTCAAATTCTGGCTGTGGTGGCTTTGGCGGCAAGCTCACGATCTCCTCTCTCTCCCGTTTCTCCATTTCTCCATTTCCCCGTACACAGTTTGTTGCACCGTCCGCCGGGGTGATTCGTTTGCTCTGTTCCGCCCTCACACAGATTGATTCGTTCACTTTACTGCCCGGTTCCTACCTCTACCCGTACCCCTACCCCCTCTTTCCTCTCCCTTCACCCCCCCCCTCCCCCCAACCCCAACACCTCTTCCCCTCCCACCTCGCGCGCCTAAGCAACCGAACCACCTCCCTCTCCCTGTTGTCCCGCCTTTCTGCATGTGGTTTGGCGGCACGTGTCAACGAATCTGACCTCATGTGTGTGGGGTTGGTATATCGCCGTTCTGTGATGTTCCCGCCGCGGGGCTCTCTTGTTTGTCACGGGCGGATTCGAGCACCTCACGTCGGCAAGCGGCACGGCCTGAAACGCATTGAGCAAGGTCAGCTTTGCCACCGGGCACATCTTGTCTTGTCCCGTTGACGCATTCTAGCTAGTGTGACCCCCTCGTGGCACATTAAGATGCCGATTCAATTTGGCTTGATGAAATTCTACGACGATAGTTCGCCCACGTGGCACTTCAGCACGCATGCAATTTGCCACGTGGCAACATCCGTTTCGTCTTGCAATGTATCCATGTGAGGCAGATGGAGGCGGTGACCAGGGCTCCGCAAGCGTGAGTTCCGTGAAGATACAGGGGAGGAGGACACCACGAGGGGGGCCTTGTAGGCATATGAGCTTGGTAGCTGTGTCATACCAAGGGGGCCCCACGAGGGGCCGCCTAAGCGAGAGGCTGCTTGCTAATATCGTAGGTGAGTGTGCATTATTGGAGGGGAGTAGTGGCGGTTGTCTGGGGGGGAATATATGCTTCCGTAGGCGGAGGACGCTATCTGGCTGTTAATGATTGATCACCAACCAGAAACCGAAGAGCCATTTGGAGTCCTGCCTTCTTATGAGGACGAGATTTACGAGTAAAGAGGGCCGGGGGGGTGGAGGGAGGGAAGCGGGGATGAGACGGGATAGATAGGGTTCAAGCGCAGGCTGCGTGGCCCACCCAGTGGGGGAAGGGAAGGGGGGGAAAGGATTGGAGGGGGTTGGGG